CTGTCCCCGCTGGCACTGCCCTGGCACCCCCTGTCCCTGCCTGTCACTGTGTGTCACTGCCCTGGCACCTCCCGTTCCCGCGTGTCATCGCCCTGGAACGTCCTGTCCCTCCTTGTCCCTGCATGGCACCGCCCTGGCACCACCCTGGCGCCTCCTGTCACTGTGTGTCACTGCCCTGGCACCTCCTGTTCCTCCTTGTCCCCACGTGTCACCTCCCCAACACTTCCTGTCACTGCCTGTCCCCGCTGTCACCGCCCTGGCACCGCCCTGGCACCGCCTTGGCACCGCCCTGGCACCTCCTGTCCCCTCGTGTCATTGCCCTGGCACCTCCTGTCCCCGCGTGTCACCCCTCTGGCACCTCCGTTCCTCCCTGTCCCCATTTGTCACCCCCTGGCACCTGCTGCCACCTTCCAGCCCCCCCCCGCCACCCCCCCAGCCCTGACCCCCCCTGGCACCGCCTTTGGCACCGCTCTGCCATCGCCCATCGCCCTTCCCGTGGTGCCCCCAACACCCACCCTGGGGTGCTCGCATTTTTGGGTGCCCCCACCCACGGGTGCCCCCTGGGAGCCACAGCCCCGTCCTGGGGTGCCCTCAGCCCCGAGTGCCCCATCCTTGGGTGCCCCCCACCCTTGGGTGCCCCTCCCCAACCATGCCCCAGCCTAGGGGTTCCCAGGTCTCAAACCATGGGTGCCCCCCACCCTTGGGTGCTCCCACCCTTGAGTACCTCCAGCCTGCAGGTGCCACCCTCTCGGTTACCCCACCCTTGGGTACCCCCACCCTTGGGTACCCCCTCGCTGCCGTGCCCCAGCCCCGGGGTTCCCAGGCCCCATGTCCCCGATGCCCCCACCCTTGGGTGCCCCCAACCCGCAGGTGCCACCCTCTCGGTGCCCCCACCCTTGGGTACCTCCCCGGTGCCCCCCACCCTCTCGGTGCCCCCCATCTTTGGGTGCCCCCACCCTTGAGTGCTCCCCCGGTGCCCCCCACCCTTGGGTACCCTTGCGTGCCCCCACCCTCGAGTGCCCCCCCAGTGCCCCCATCCTTGGATACCCCCACCCTGCAAGTGCCACCCTCCCAAGTGCCCCCCACCCTTGGGTACCCCCACCATTGGGTGCCCCCGGTCCCCCCACCCCTGGGTGGCCCCCACCCTTGGGTACCCCCACCATTGGGTGCTCCAAACCTTGGGTACCCCCCGGTGCCCCCCACCTTTGTGTACCCCCCATTGCCCCCCAACCATTGGGTGCCCCCCGGTCCCCCTACCCCTGGGTGCCCCCACCCCTGGGTGCCCCCCACCCCTGGGTGCCCCCCACCCTTGTGTACTCCCCATTGCCCCCCCCACCCCTGGGTGCCCCCCACCCTTGTGTACCCCCCATTGCCCCCCCACCCCTGGGTGCCCCCCCACCCCCGGGTGCCCCCCAGCCCGGGTGCCCGTCCTTACTCCATGACCTCCTCCTTGACCCGGAAGGGCACGTGTGGGTAGGCGCGGCCGGGGGGCCCCGGGGGGGGCGGCAGCCGCTCGGGGGGGGGGGCGGCGCAGGTCCACGCTGGGGGCGCCCTTGGGGGCCCAGAGGTGCAGGAGCAGCGCGGCCAGCGAGGCCGAGACCAGCAGCAGCAGGCACAGAGCCCGCTGCGCCCCCCGCATCCTGCCTGGGGACAGACAGCGACAGTGTCACTGCAGGGACACCAGTAACACCCAGTGTCACTAGGGTCACCGCTGCGCCCCCCGCATCCTGCCTGGGGACAAGGGGACAGGGACAGTGTCACTGCAGGGACACCCAGTAACACCCAGTGTCACTAGGGTCACCGCTGCGCCCCCCGCATCCTGCCTGGGGACAGGGACAGCGACAGTGTCACTGCAGGGACACCCAGTAACACCCAGTGTCACTAGGGTCACCGCTGCGCCCCCCGCATCCTGCCTGGGGACAGGGGGACAGCGATGTCACCGCAGGGACACCCAGTAACACCCAGTGTCACCGCTGCGCCCCCCGCATCCTGCCTGGGGACAGACAGGGACACCCAGGGACACCCAGTGTCACCGCTGCGCCCCCCACATCCTGCCTGGGGAGGGACAGCGTCACTGCAGGGACCCCCGGGGCGAGGCAGCCCCTCCCAGTGCCACCAGTGCCACCAGTGCCCCCCAGGGCAACTCAACCCCTCCCAGCCCCTCCCAGTGCCCCCAGTGCCCCCCAACACAACCCAGCCCCTCCCAGTGCCCCCAGTGACAGCCAGCTCCTCCCAGTGCCCCCCGGTGCCCCCCGGTGCCCCCAGTGTCACCAGTGCCCCCAGGGCAGGCCAGCTCCTCTCAGTGTCCCCAGTGTCACCAGGGCAACCCAGCCCCTCCCAGCTCCTCCCAGTGACGCCCGGAGCCTCCCAGTGACAGCAGCGTCACCAGTGCCCCCAGTACAGCCCAGCTCCTCCCAGTGTCCCCAGTACAGCCCAGCTCCTCCCAGTGCCCCCAGTACAGCCCAGTCCCCCCCAGTGCCCCCAGTACAGCCCAGCTCCTCCCAGCGCCCCCAGTACAGCCCAGTCCCCCCCAGTGCCCCCAGTGCCCCCAGCCCCTCCCAGTGCCCCTAGTCCCTCCCAGTCCCTCCCAGTGCCCCCAGTACAGCCCAGCCCCTCCCAGTGCCCCCCAGAGCAGCCCAGCCCCTCCCAGTGCCCCCCAGTACAGCCCAGCCCCTCCCAGTGCCCCCCAGTGCCCCCAGTACAGCCCAGTACAACCCAGTTCCTCCCAGTGCCCCCAGTACAACCCAGTCCCTCCCAGTGCCCACCAGTACAACCCAGTCCCCCCCAGTACAGCCCAGCTCCTCCCAGTAGAAACCAGTGCCCACACAATCCCCCAGCTCCTCCCAGTACAAACCAGTACCCACAGTGCCCCCCAGTACAACACAGTCCCTCCCAGCAACTCCCAGTACAAACCAGCGCCCACAGAACTCCCCAGTGATTCCCAGTACAAACCAGTGCCCACAGAACTCCCCAGTGATTCCCAGTACAAACCAGTGCCGCCAGTGCCGTGCACCATCCCTCGGTCCCTGCTCTGCCTCCAGCGTTCCCAGCGCTCCCATCTCCCAGTGCTCCCAGTTCATCCCAGTGCCCCCCCAGTGCCCCCGTTCTGCTGTGCTCGGGCCCCTCCATCCCTCCCCAGTTCTCCCAGTACAAACCAGTGCCCCCAATTCTCCCAGTGCTCCCAGTTCTCCCAGTGCTCCCAGTGTTCCCAATATCTCCCAATTCTCCCAGTGCCGCCAATTCTCCCAGTCCCCCCAGTGCCCTCAATTCATCCAATTCTCCCAATATCTCCCAGTGCCCCCAGTCCCCCCAGTTCCCCCAGTGCCCCCAATTCCCCCAGTGGCCCCAGTGCCCCCAATTCTCCCAATATCTCCCAGTCCCCCCAGTTCTCCCAGTACTCCCAGTTCTCCCAGTGCCCCCAGTTCTCCCAGTCCCCCCAGTGCCCCCAGTGCACCCGTGCCCTCACCTGGGGGTGGGCGCAGCTCCGGGGGGCTCAGCCCTCCCTCATGGCTCTGCCCCCGCAGCTCGGGCCTGGGGACACGGGCACGGTGTCGGGCCGGGGGGGGCACAGCCCGGGATCGCCCCCGGCCCCCCCCCGGGCGTGGCCGCACCGGGGCCGCCCCCGCCCCCCCCGGGGCTCCCCCAAAGGCGGGGCCGGGGCAGCCGTGACGTGGGAGGGGCTGGGGGGGGCAGGGAGGGGTCTGGGGGTACCGGGGGGGCTCGGGGGATGCGGGGCTCGGGGGGGGCTGGGGCCGTTCGGGGGATGCGGGGGATGCCGGGGGGGATGCGGGTTTGGGGGTGTCCGGGGGGGAGAAGCGGCGATGTCGCAGCCGCGACAGGGCCACGGCAGGTGCCATCCATCCACCCCCATCGCGACACGTCGCGACAGGAGCGGCCCCGGCCCTACCTGGCTCCGCTGGCGGATCCCGGCGCTCCGCGGCCGCAAGCGGCACCGGCACCGGAGCGGGCGGCGAGGGCGCCCCCGGCGGCCCCGGTGTGGAACGGCACCGCCGCAGCCTCGGGAGGGGCGGGGCGAGGCTGGGGCGGGGGGGGGGAGAGGCGGCGGACGGGGGGGAGGGGCGGGGGGGGTCGGGCCGGGATCAGCCCCCCCGGTGCGGCGGCCTCAGGCCGAGCTTTGTGCCCACGCGCGGGGCGCACAACGGCCCCATTGACCGGGGGCGCGGGGGGGCCCGGCCCGGGCTCGGCCGGCACCGGGAGGGGGCGGGACTCGGAGATGGGGGGGTGGGGACACTCGGGGGGCTGCCGGGGGGGTGTCCCGGGGGGCTCAGGGGTCCTAAAGGGCTGAGGGGTCCTGGGGGGATGAGGCGTCTTGGGAGGCGCAGGGGTCCAGGGGGGTTCAGGGATCCTGGGGGGCTGAAGGGTCCCGGGGGGCTGAGGAGTCCTAAAGGGCTGAGGGGTCCCGGGGAGCTCAGGGGTCCTGGGGGGCTGAGGGGTCCTGGGGGGCTTAGGGGTCCTGATGGGGCTGAGGAGTCCCGGGGTTCTCAGGGATCCCGGGGGGCTGGGAGCGGTTTGGGCGCGGTCAGGAGCAGACCGGGCAGCAGAGGGGCTCCAGGGCCGGGAGATGGCGCCGGGGCCGGCCCAGCTCGATCGGGGTCCCCGCCCGCCCCTCCCGGCTCCGGTAATCACGTGATGCCCCCGGGATGCTCGGTGCTCTCAGCCAATCAGCGCGCAGGGATCGCCTGCATCCCGCTCGGCCAATGGGAATCCGCCAGACCTTACGTCATCGCGGCCGGCCGCGCCCCGCCTCGCCATTGGCTGCCGCCCGCGCGGGCTCCGGCCAATCGCCGCTGGCCGCGGCTTCGCAACCGCCTCGCCCCCGCGGCCTCACAACGGGTGGCGTCATCCCCGCCCGCTGACCAATCAAAGTCGCGCTTCTCTTTGACAGGCAGGTATTCAGACCAATCGCGACCCGGAGCAGCGGGGCCGGGGCGGGCGCGAGGAGGTGCGGGCGGAAGCGGAAGCGGCGGCGGCGGGGGAAGATGGCGGCGCGGCGGGGCCCGGGGCCGGTGGCGGCGCTGGCGCTGCTGGCGCTGCTCGGCCCGGGGTGGCCCCTCCGCGGGGCCCGGGCCGCGCTCAACCTGCAGGAGCTCAGCGAGCTCAAGTACGGCCTCGAGATCCTGGCCGAGCCCGTCCTGGCCGGGCAGGTGCGCCGCGGTACCGGGGCCAACGGCTGGGGGAGGGGGAGGCGGGCGGCGTCCGGGGGGCTGTACCGGGAGCGGCGGACCGGCCATGGGGCTGCCGAGGAGCGGGGCACCGGCTGCGGGTCAGGAGGGCCGCCCGCGGGGGGGGGGGTTACGGGGACCGGGAGCACCTGTCCGGGGGCGGAGCGGGGCGGGGCTCCGGGCTGGGGTGAACCGGGGCCGGGGCATCGTTCAGGGGGTGAACCGCGCCCGGGGCACCGGTCTGAGGCTGTACCGAGACCGGGGGAACTGCTCAGGGGCTGAGCCGAGCCCGGGATACCGGCTAGGGCTGAACCGGGCGCCCCAGTCCGGGGCTGAACCGGGGCCGGGGCACTGCTCAAGGCTGTACCGGGCCCGGGGCTCCGGTCAGCGCTGTACCGGGCCCGTGCCCCCGGCTGAGCTCCTCACCGTGGCTCGTTCCGGGGTTCGCGGCAGCCGCCGGGCAGTGGAACACGGCCGGGGGTCTCTGCAGGGGCCGGGAGCGCCCGTTCGGGGCGGGAACGGGGCCGGGGGCACCGGGCCGAGGTCGGAGATGTCCCGGGCTGGGCTCGGGGTCCCGGACAGGGACGGGGAATAGCGGCTCCCGGGGCTCGGGCGGGGCTCGGGGACACCGGGCGGGGCTCGGGATCCCGGGCTGGGGTCCCGGGCCAGGGCTCAGCGGCTCCGGGGGCTCGGGATCCCGGGCAGGGTTCCTGGGCCGGGGCTCCGCGGCTCCCGGGGCTCAGGGTCCCGTGTAGGGGCTCGGCTCAGCCGGGGCTCATGGATCCCGGTGTCCCGGGAGGGGTTCCCGGTCGGTCCCGGGGGTTCCCGGTCTGTCCCGGTGTCCCAGGGGGGTTCCCGGTCAGTCCCGGTGTCCCGGGGGGGGTTCCCGGTCTGTCCCGGTCAGTCCCGGTGTCCCGGTCTGTCCCGGTGTCCCGGTCAGTCCCGGTGTCCCGGGGGGGGTTCCCGGTCTGTCCCGGTGTCCCGGTCAGTCCCGGTGTCCCGGGGGGGGGTTCCCGGTCTGTCCCGGTGTCCCGGTCAGTCCCGGTGTCCCGGGGGGGGTTCCCGGTCTGTCCCGGTGTCCCGGTCAGTCCCGGTGTCCCGGGGGGGGTTCCCGGTCTGTCCCGGTGTCCCGGTCTGTCCCGGTGTCCCGGGGGGGGGTTCCCGGTCAATCCCGGTGTCCCGGGGGGGGGTTCCCGGTCAGTCCCGGTGTCCCGGTCTGTCCGTACCTGCGCTGTGCGGAGCCGCTCCGTGCCGGGGGTGGGGGGGATGGGTTCCGTTTCTGCCCCGGTGCCGCCCGCGCACGTTCCGGATGTGCGGGGGGGGCAGGGCCGGACCGGGGGTTTCACTTTTCGGTTCCCCAATCCGGGCCGGTCACACCCGCTGTCTCCGTTTGTCCCGGTTTGTCCCCGTTTGTCCCGGGACGGCCCCGGGGCTCCTCCGGCTGGTTTGGGGGGGTCCAGAGGGTTTGGGGGGGTCCCGAGCCCCGTCCTGTGCCCCCCCCCCCCGGGGGACAGGAACAGGGCGGGGCCGGATGCGGCTGTTTTGGCGGGAAGGGGGGGGGGGCTGGGGGGAACTGGGGTCACCGGGGGTGTCTGTGGGGTCACGGGGGGACTTTGGGGTCACTGGGGGGCTTTGGGGGCACTTTGGGTCTCTGGTTGAATCTGTGGGGTCACCAGGGGGGCTGCAGGGTCAATGGGGGTGTCTGGGTGAGCTTTGGGGTCCCTGGGCAGTCTGTGGGGTCATGGGGGGGCTTTGGGGTCACTGGGGTGTCTTTGGGGTCACTGGGGGGGCTTTAGGGTCACAGGGGTGTCTGTGGGGTCATGGGGGGGCTTTGGGGTCACTGGGGTGTCTTTGGGGTCATGGGGGGGCTTTGGGGTCACTGGGGGGGCTTTGGGGTCACAGGTGTGTCTGTGGGGTCATGGGGGGGCTTTGGGGTCACAGGGGTGTCTTTGGGGTCGCTGGGGTGTCTGTGGGGCCTCTAGGGGACTTTGGGGTCTCTGTGGGGTCACCACGGGGGCTTTAGGGTCAGTGAGGGACTCTTGGGGTCACTGGGGGGCTTTGGGGTCACTGGGGTGGCTGTAGGGTCACCGGGGGGATTTGGGGGCGCTTTGGGTCTCCGGTTGAATCTATGGGGTCACCAGGGGGGCTGCAGGGTCAATGGGGGTGTCTTGGGGTCTCTGGGCGAGCTTTGGGGTCCCTGGGCAGTCTGTGGGGTCATGGGGGTGCTGCAGGGTCACAGGAGGAGTCTGTGGGGTCACAGGGGGAGTCCGTGGGGTTCCTGGGGGGCTTTGGGGTCACTGGGGGGCTCTGGGGTCACTGAGGGGGTCTGTGGGGTGTCTGGGTGGGCTTTGGGGTCTCTGTGGGGTCACTGGGGGGCTGCAGGGTCTCGGGGGGCTTTGGGGTCTCTGTGGGGTCACCAGGGGGGCTTTGGGGTCAGTGAGGGACTCTTGGGGTCACTGGGGGGGTTTGGGGTCCTTGGGGGAGTCTGTGGGGTCACTGGGGGGCTTTGGGGTCTCTCTGGGGCCGTGGGATCACGGGGGGAATCTGGAGGTGTCTCTGGGGTCTGGGGGTGTCTCTGGGGTCTGGGGGTGTCTGTGGGGTCCTGGGGTGTTTATGGGGTGTCTGTGGGATTATGGGGGTGTCTGTGGGGTTTTTAGGGGTGTCTGTGGGTTCTGGGGGTGTCTGTGGGATCTCAGGGTGTCTGTGGGGTCCCGGGGGTGTCTGTGGGGTCCTGGGGGTGTCTGGGGGTGTCTGTGGGGTGCCGGGGGTGTCTGTGGGTTCTGGGGGTGTCTGTGGGGTCCTCAGAGGGGCCTCCCCAAGGGGGGCAGAGCCCCAGAGCCCCGGGGGGTGTTTAGGGGTGCCAGGGGGTGCCTGGGGGTATTTAGGGGTGCCAGGTGGGGCTGTTTGGGGATGCCAGGGGGGCAGAGCCCTGGGGGGTGTTTAGGGGTGCCAGGGGATACTGGAGGGTGTTTGGAGGTGCCAGGACGCTCATTATGGGGGTGCCAGGGGATGTTTAGGGGGGCTCTTTAGGGGTGCCGGGGCCCTGGGGTGCCAGGGGACTCTTTAGGGGTGCCAGGAGGTGTTTTGGGGTGCCAGGGGGAGCTCTGTGGAGGCTCTTTAGGGGTGCCAGGGTCTGTTCAAGGGTGCCATGCCCTGACCCTGTGCCCCCGTGCCCTGACGCGGTGCCCCCGTGCCCCCCGTGCAGCGGCAGGACGTGGTGACGGTGGCATCGCGGTTCAAGCAGCTCTACGAGTGCCACCTGCCCCCCGCGGCCGTGGCACCGCCCCCGGGACCCCCCCGGGACCCCCGCGGGTACAACGGCTCCGGCGTGGCAGAGCTGCTGCGGCCCATGGGCACCGCGCCCTGCCTGCTCAAGGTGGGCATCGAAGGGGCATGGGGAGTGATGGGGGGCATGGGCACCGCGCCCTGCCTGCTCAAGGTGGGCATCAATGGGGGCATGGGGGGCATGGGGAGTGCTGGGGACCATGGGCACCGCGTCCTGCCTGGGCAAGGTGGGCATCATGGGGCATGGGGGGCATGGGCACTGCCCTGTGCCTGGTCAAGGTGGGCATCAATGGGGGCATGGGGGGCATGGGCACCGCACCCTGCCTGGTCAAGGTGGGCATCGAAGGGGCATGGGGAGTGATGGGGGCCATGGGCACTGTGCCGTGCCTGGTCAAGGTGGGCATCAGGGGGGCATGGGGGAGGGTACAGTGCCCTGCCTGCTCAAGGTGGGCATCAGGGGGGCATGGTGCCCTGCCTGCTCAAGGTGTGCATGGGAGGGACGCAGGGGGTGCCAGGGGGGCACGGGTGGTGCTGGGAGGTGCCAGGGGGGCACGCCATGCCCACCCTCACCCCGTGCCCCCTCGCAGACTAAGGACTGGTGGACGTACGAGTTCTGCTACGGGCGCCACATCCAGCAGTACCACCTGGAAGGTGACGCCGGGCACGGGGCGGGCACGGGGCGGGCCCGAGGACCCCTCCCCCCCTCACCGTGTGCCCGCCGTGTGCCCACCCTGCAGAGTCTGAGATCAAGGGCGACGTGCTGGTGCTGGGCTATTACCAGTCTGCCTTCGACTGGCACGACGAGGCTGCCAAGGTGGGTGTGCCCCCCGCCCTGGGCACGGCAGTGTTCTGTGCCCACCCGTGCCCACCCTGTGCCCACCCGTGCCCTGCAGGCCTCCCAGCAGCACCAGCTGCGGCGCTACCACAGCCAGAGCTACGGCAACGGCTCCCGCTGCGACCTGACCGGGCGTGCCCGCGAGGCCGAGGTCCGGGTAAGGCTGGCACGGGGGGCACGGGGGGCGCTGAGGAGCGCCCTGGGCGCCGGGGGGGCACGGCACCCTGCCTGAGCAAGGTGGGCACTGGGGGTGCCAGAGGGCATGAGGGGCACAGGGGGTGCCAGGGGGGCACAGCACCAGACCTGAGCAAGGTGGGCGTGGGGGCACAGGAGGAGCACAGCACCCTGCCTGAGCAAGGTGGGCGCTGGGGGTGCCAGGGGGCATTGGGGGCATGGAGGGCACAGCACCCTGCCTGAGCAAGGTGGGCAGCATGGGGGGCACTGAGGGCCATGGGGGGCACTGAGGGGGGCACTGAGGAGCACCTTGGGCGCTGGGGGGGCACAGCACCCTGCCTGAGCAAGGTGGGCATGGGGGCACAGGTGGGGTGGAGGGCACAGGGGGGGCACCATGCCCTGCATGATCAAATGGGCATGGGGGGCACAGGGGGGCACAGCACCCTGCCTGATCCAGGTGGGTATGGGGGGCATAGGAGGGTGCCCGGAGGCATGGAGGGCACAGGACCCTGCCTGAGTAAGGTGGGCATGGGGGCACAGAGGGTATGGAGGGCACAGGGGGGGCACCATGCCCTGCCTGATCAAGATGGGCGTGGGGGGGTGCCAGAGGGCATGGGGGGCACAGGGGGTGCCAGGGAGCACAGCACCAGGCCTGGGCATGGGGGGCATAGGGGGGGTGCCAGGGGGGGCACAGCACCCTGCCTGATCCAGGTGGGCACCGGGGCTGCCAGGGGGCATGGGGGGTATGGGGGGCACAGCACCCTGCCTGAGCATGGGGGGCACTGAGGGGCACTGGGGGCACTGAGGGGCACTGAGGAGCACCCTGGGCATGGCAGGCCCTCACCCTGGATGTGCCCACCGTTCCTGTGCGAGGAGGGCACTGAGGGGCACAGAGGGGCACCCTGGGCACGGCAGGCCCTCACTGGCACCGTGCCCACAGTTGCTGTGCGAGGAGGGGACAGGGGGCACTGAGGGGCACAGGGGAAAACTGAGGGGCACGGGGGGCACTGAGGAGCACCCTGGGCACGGCAGGCCCTCACCAAGGCCGTGCCCGCAGTTCCTGTGCGAGGAGGGCACTGAGGGGCACTGAAGGGGGCACTGAGGGGCACCCTGGGCACGGCAGGCCCTCACCAGGCCGTGCCCGCAGTTCCTGTGCGAGGAGGGCACTGAGGGGCACTGAAGGGGGCACTGAGGGGCACCCTGGGCACGGCAGGCCCTCACTGGCACCGTGCCCGCAGTTCCTGTGCGAGGAGGGCACGGGCGATTACATTGCCCGCGTGGACGAGCCGCAGTCGTGCCAGTACGTGCTGACCGTGCACACCACGCGCATCTGCCACCACCCCTTCCTGCGCCCGGCCCCGGCGCTGGCACCGCTGCCCATCCGCTGCCAGCCCGCGCTCTCGCCCGCCCAGTACGTGCAGTACGTGCGTGCCCAAGTCTGTGAGTACCGGGGGGCACGGGGAGCGGGCGTGGGGCTGGGGCTGCCCGCCCTGGGGCTGGCACTGAGCCCGGCTGCGGGGCTGGCACTGCCCCCCCAGCCTGGGGCTGGCACCTTCATCCTGGGGCTGGCACTGCCCCCCCAGCCTGGGGCTGGCACCTTCATCCTAGAGATGGCACTGTCACCCCAGCCTAGAGGTGGCACTGTCACCCCAGCTTGGGGCTGGCACTGTCCTCTCCAGCCTGGGGCTGGCACTGTCATCCCAGCCTAGAGGTGGCACTGTCCCTTCCAGTCTAGAGCTGGCACTGTCCCCTCCATCCTGGGACTGGCCTTGTCTCCTCCAGTCTGGCACTGTCCCCTCCATTCTGGAGTTGGCCCTGTCCTCTTAGCCTGGGACTGGCACTGTCCTTTCCAGCCTGGCACTGTTTCCTCTGTGCCAGGGCTGCCCTGGTCCCTGCAGTGTGGGGCTGTCCCTGTCCCTGTGTCCCCAGCTGTCCCTTGTCCCCAGCTGTCCCCAGCTGTCCCCAGCTGTCCCCAGCTGTCCCTGTGTCCCCAGCTGTCCCCGTGTCCCCAGCTGTCCCCAGCTGTCCCCAGCTGTCCCCAGCTGTCCCTGTGTCCCCAGCTGTCCCCGTGTCCCCAGCTGTCCCCAGCTGTCCCTGTGTCCCCAGCTGTCCCCAGCTGTCCCCGTGTCCCCAGCTGTCCCCAGCTGTCCCCAGCTGTCCCTGTGTCCCCAGCTGTCCCCATGTCCCCAGCTGTCCCCAGCTGTCCCTGTGTCCCCAGCTGTCCCCAGCTGTCCCCAGCTGTCCCCGTGTCCCCAGCTGTCCCCAGCTGTCCGTGTGTCCCCAGCTGTCCCCGTGTCCCCAGCTGTCCCTGTGTCCCCAGCTGTCCCCAGCTGTCCCTTGTCCCCAGCTGTCCCTGTGTCCCCAGCTGTCACCCAGCTGTCACCCAGCTGTCCCCGTGTCCCCAGCTGTCCCCAGCTGTCCCCAGCTGTCCCTGTGTCCCCAGCTGTCCCCGTGTCCCCAGCTGTCCCCAGCTGTCCCCAGCTGTCCCTGTGTCCCCAGCTGTCCCCATGTCCCCAGCTGTCCCCAGCTGTCCCTGTGTCCCCAGCTGTCCCCAGCTGTCCCCAGCTGTCCGTGTGTCCCCAGCTGTCCCTGTGTCCCCAGCTGTCCCTGTGTCCCCAGCTGTCCCCAGCTGTCCCTTGTCCCCAGCTGTCCCTGTGTCCCCAGCTGTCCCCAGCTGTCCCTTGTCCCCAGCTGTCCCTGTGTCCCCAGCTGTCCCCAGCTGTCCCTTGTCCCCAGCTGTCACCCAGCACAAGGTCGAGCAGATCTCGCAGGAGCTGCGCTCTCTGGACTCGCGGCTCTGGAGTGACAGGGACAGCGAGGTGCCACCCCCAGGGGCACCCAGGGACACCCACGAGGGTACGGCCCTGTCCCCTCCCCGCCGTGACAGCGCTGCCGCTGTCCCCTCTGCCCCTGGGACCCCCCTGTGCCAGCCGTGCCAGCCCTGTCCCCTCTGTGCCAGGCACCCAGGCAGAGCCAGCGCAGGATGTGCCAGCCGGGGAGCAGGAGGTGCCAGCCAGTGCCAGTGCCCAGCGGGACAGCGCCAGGGTGAGTGCCAGTGGCCTTGGGGACATCCTGGTGTCACTTTGGGGTCTGTGCCCTGCTCCAGTGGCCTTGGGGACATCCTGGTGTCACTTTGGGGTCTGTGCCCTGCTCCAGTGGCCTTGGGGACATCCTGGTGTCACTTTGGGGTCTGTGCCCTGCTCCAGTGGCCTTGGGGACACTCTGGTGTCACTTTGGGGTCTGTGCCCTGCTCCAGTGGCCTTGGGGACACTCTGGTGTCACTTTGGGGGGTTTGTGCCGTGCTCCAGTGGCCTTGGGGACACTCTGGTGTCACTTTGGGGGTTGTGCCCTGCTCCAGTGGCCTTGGGGACACTCTGGTGTCACTTTGGGGGTTGTGCCCTGCTCCAGTGGCCCTGGGGACACTCTGGTGTCACTCTGGGGGTTGTGCCCTGCTCCAGTGGCCTTGGGGACACTCTGGTGTCACTTTGGGGGGGTTGTGCCCTGCTCCAGTGGCCTTGGGGACATCCTGGTGTCACTTTGGGGGTTGTGCCCTGCTCCAGTGGCCTTGGGGACACTCTGGTGTCACTTTGGGGGGTTGTGCCCTGCTCCATGCCCGGTGCCCTCCCTGCAGGAGCCGTCCCCGAGGGCAGCCGGTGGTCGGGCAGCTGGTGAGTCCTGGGTGTCCTCCCTGTGCCACCTCCGTGCCACCCCTGTGTCCCCCGTGTCACTTCCATGCCCACCTTGTGTTCCCTGTGTCACCTCTGTGCCCACCCTGTGTCCCCCATGTCACCTCTACCCTGTCACCCCCATGTCCCCTCCATGCCCACCCCGTCACCCCCATGCCCACCCCATGTCCCCGCATCACCTCCATGCCCACCCTGTGTCTCCCATGCCCCACTGTGTCCCCTGTGTCACCCCCATGCCCTCATGCCACCCCCCATGCCCACCTCGTGTCCCCCGTGTCACCCCCATGCCCACCACATGCCCCCATGTCACCCCCATGCCCCCCCATCACCTCCATGCCCCCTCCATGCCCTCTTGTGTCCCTGATGCCCACCCCATGCCCCCGTGTCCCCTGTGTCACCCCCCATGCCCTCATGCCACCCCCATGCCCACCTTGTGTCCCCCGTGTCACCCCCATGCCCCCCGGTGCACCCCCTGTGCCCCCTGGCACTGCCATCCCTGATGCCCACCCCGTGCCCCCCCATGCCCACCCTGTGCCCCCCATGCCCCTGGTGCCCCCTGGCACTGCCACCCCCTTGCCCACCCCGTGTCCCCTGTGTCCCCCATACCCCCCCATGCCCCCGGTGCCCCCCTGGCAGTGCCACCCCCGTTGCCCTCCCCATGTCTCCTATGTCACTCCCATGCCATGTCCCCCATGGCCCCCTGTGCCCCCCTGGCACTGCCATCCCCGTTGCCCACCCCATGCCCCCTGTGCCCCCCATGCCCCCCTGTGTCCCCCATGCCCCCGGTGCCCCTCTGGCACTGCCCCCCCCCGTTGCCCACCCCACGTCCCCTGTGTCCCCCCATGCCCCCGGTGCCCCTCTGGCACTGCCATCCCCGTTGCCCACCCCGTGCCCCCCATGCCCCCGGTGCCCCCCTGGCACTGCCACCCCCGTTGCCCCCTGGCAGACCCCCGCAGGAGGATCCACTTCAAGGTGATCCGCAGCCCCGGGGACCTGCTGCAGTTCCTCGAGGAGCTCAAGGAGAGCACCAGGAAGGTGGGCACCCCCCCGTGCCCATGCCCGGGCACCCCCCCGTGCCCATGCCCGTGCCCCCCCGTGCCTCAGTTTCCCCCTGAGCCCCTCCCGCTGCCCCAGGCCAGGGAGAAGGCGCGCGAGGAGGAGGAGGAGGAGGAGGAGAAGGAGGAGGAAGCAGCCAAGGCTGCCCCGGCCGGGCCGGGCCCTGCAGAGCCCCCCGGCCCCGAGGCCCCGCCCGGCCCCGAGGCCCCCGCGGGGCAGGAGGAGGAGGAGGAGGAGGAGGCTGAGGATGAAGATGAGGAGGAGGAGGAGGAGGAGGCGGGGCCGCTGCTGGCGGGGCTGGAGCTGCTGCCGCGGGAGCAGGTGGCGAGGCTCAAGGAGGAGGTGAAGAACCAGATGGAGCAGGAGTTCGACAGCATCATCAGCGAGGTGGGGACCCCCAGGGGCTGGCACCCCCACTGGGGACCCCCCTGAGGGGCTGGGACTCCCATTGGGGCTGGGACCCCTCTGGCTGGGCTGGGACCCCCACTGGGGACCCCCCTGAGGGGCTGGGACCCCCCACTGGGGCTGGGACTCCCATTGGAGACCACCTGAGGGGCTGGGACCCCCACTGGGGACCCCCTGAGGGGGTGGGATCCCCCTGATGGGGCTGGGACCCCTACAGGGTACTGGGACCCCCCACAGGGGCACTGGGACCCCCACTGGGGACCCCCTGAGGGGCTGGGACCCCCTGAGGGGCTGGGCCCCCATTGGGGACCCCCACAGGGGCACTGGGACCCCCCACAGGGACACTAAGACCCCCCCCTGGCTGGGCTGGGACCCCCAGAGGGGCAATAGGACCCTCACAGTAGCACTGGGACCCCCCTGACTGGGTTGGGATCCCCACAGTGGCCCTGGGACCCCTCTCACTGTGCTGGGACCCCCACAGGGACACTGGGGCCCCCATTGGGGACCCCCACAGGGGTACTGGGACCCCCTGGCCAAGCTGGGCCCACCCAGGCTGCACTGGGGGAGCCCCAGCGGGGTTGGCTGCCTCCCCCCCCCCCCCCCAAAATGGGGATCCCCTCATTGCTGTGGGGCCACCCTGTCCACACCAGGGACCCCCTGATTGCACTGGGGACCCCCTGGTTGGGCTGAGGAGCCCCTGGGAGGGTTGAGACCCCCCTGACTGGGCTGGGGACCCCCTGGGAGATTTGGGGACCCCCTGGGAGGGTTGGGACTCCCCTGACTGTATTGGGGACCCCCTGACTGCACTGAGACTCCCCTGGCTGGGCTGGGGACCCCATGACTGCACGGGGAGGCCCTGGGAGGGCTGAGGACCCCCGGGTTGGGCTGGGGACCCTATGGTGTGGCCAGGGGTGCCCAGCAGAGCTGGGGACAGCCCGGGGACAGCCCGTGTGGCCCCGCTGCTCCGGTCCGTGCTGGCCCGGCCCGAACCGGCCCCGAACGCTCCCGGTGCAGGTGGAGGAGGAGCTGGAGACCGAGGGGCTCAAGGGCGAGTTCGACCGGAGCCGCGCCACGCGGACCCTGGCGAGCACCCTGAGCCGCCTGATGGAGCGGCTGGAGCGGCCCGAGCCCCGCCGCGACCCCGCCGGGGCCCGCGGGGAGGAAGAGGAGGAGCGGGAGGAAGAGGAGGAGGAGGGAGCCGCGAGGAAGGGCAGCGGCCCCCGGCCGGCCAAGGACGGGCGCGTGCGGGTGCGGATGGGCAGGGCCGGGGGGAGCCGGGACGCCCCCAAAGATGCGGAACCCCCCCGGGACAAGCAGGAGCCCCCCCGGGACAAGCAGAGCCCCCCGCAGGGGGAGAGCGAGGTGCGGGAGCTGCTGGCCAAGGAGGGGCTGCGCGCTGAAGGTACGAGAGGGGCTCCGGCCGGGGGTGGGGGCACGGGGAGAGCCCCAAATGAACCCCCCCGGACCCCCCCCCCTCCCCCCGGCAGGGAAAATCGAGATCAAGATCGTGACGGCGGCGGCGGGGGGCGAGGAGGAGGAGGGGGCGCAGTGGCTGTCGGAGGAGGATTCGCGGAGCCTCAAGGAGATTTTCCTCAGCATCCTGGTGCGGGGGGGCGGGGAGGGGCGGGGGAGGGGTTCCATGGGGTGGGGGAGGGGTTCTGAGGGAGGGGGCACAGCTGAGGGTGGGCAGGAGGGGAATTTGTGGTGTTGGGGGAAAGCAGGGACACGGCTGAGGTGGGGGAAACTGAGGCACGGCAGGGCTGAGGAACAGGGGGAAACTGAGGCACGGGGGGACACATTGAGGTGGAGAGGGTGGGGGCAGGACACAGGTGGGGGTGGCAGTGAGGTGAGGAGGGCACTAAGGTGAAGGGGGAGTGACGGGGGGGGCACAGAAATGAAGGGGAGCAATGAAGTGGGGGTGGCACTGAGGTCGAGAGGGGCACAGAGGGGTGGGCACTGAGGTGTAGGGGGGCACTGAAGTGAAGGGGGGGGTACTGAGATGAGGTGGGCACTGAGATTGGGGGGCACTGAGGTGAAGGGGGAGGCAATAAGGTCGGGGGGGCACTGAGATTGGGGGGCACTGAGGTGGGGGGGGAATTGATTTGCCCCCCTCTCCCCCAGGTGCAGGGCACAGAGGTCAGGGCGGGCACTGAGGTGGGGTGGGCACAGAGAGGAGGGAGGAAGAGATGTGCAGTGGGCACTGCTTGAAGGAGGGGCCACAGAGGTGAGGTGGGCACTGAGGTCAGGGTGGGCACTGAGGTGAAGGCCGGGGCACAGAGGTGAGGTGTGCACAGATGTCAGGTGGGCACAGATTTCCCCCCTCCCCAGGTGCAGGGCACGGAGATCAGGTGGGCACTGAGGTGAAGGGAGGGGCACAGATGTCAGGTGGGCACTGAAATCAGGTGGGCACTGATTTCCCTCTTTCCCTCAGGTGCAAGGCACTGAGGTCAGGGGGGGCACTGAGATGAGAGAGGCACTGAGATCAGGGTGGGCACAGATGCCAGGTGGGCACTGATTCCCCCTTTGCCCCAGGTGCAGGGCACAGAGGTGAGGTGGGCACAGAGGTGACAGGGGGCACAGATGTCAGTGGGCACAGCTGGGCACTGATTGCCCCTTTGCCCCAGGTGCAGGGCACGGAGGTGAGGTAGGCACTGAGATCAGGTGGGCACAGAGGTGAGGTGGGCACAGAGGTCCGAGTGGGCACAGATGTCTGTGGGCACTGAGGGGATTGGAGTGGGCACAGATGCCAGGTGGGCACTGATTTGCCCCTTTACCCCAGGTGCAGGGCACGGAGGTGAGGTGGGCACAGAGGTGATGGGGGACACAGATGTCAGTGGGCACGGCTGGGCACTGATTCCCCCTTTGCCCAGGTGCAGGGCGCAGAGATGAGGGGGGCACAGAGGTAAAGAGGGTGAGCACAGATGCCAGGTGGGCACAGATGCCAGGTGGGCACTGATTCCACCTTTGCCCCAGGTGCAGGCCACAGAGGTGAGGTGGGCACAGAGGTGACAGGGGGCACAGATATCAGTGGGCACAGGTGGGCACTGATTCCCCCTTTGCCCCAGGTGCAGGGCACGGAGGTGAGGTGGGCACAGAGGTGACAGGGGGCACAGATATCAGTGGGCACAGGTGGGCACTGATTCCCCCTTTGCCCCAGGTGCAGGGCACGGAGGTGAGGTGGGCACTGAGATCAGGTGGGCACAGAGGTGAGGTGGGCACAGATGTCAGGTGGGCACAGGTGGGCACTGATTCTCCCTCTCCCCAGGTGCAGGGGGCACAGAGGTAAAGAGGGTGGGCACAGAGGTCAGGTGGGCACAGATGCCAGCTGAGCACTGATTTCCCCTCTCCCCAGGTGCAGGGCGCAGAGATGAGGGGGGCACAGGGGTGACGGGACACAGATGTTGGTGGGCACAGATGTCGGTGGGCACAGCTGGGCACTGATTGCCCCTTTGCCCCAGGTGCAGGGCACGGAGGAGGCGCAGAAGGAGCGGCGCCGCCTGCAGGCCCTGCAGGACAATTACGGCTTCGTCTGGGGGGGCCGCCAGGAGCCCCCCCCGCCCCCCGACTCCGAGGACCAGGACTTCTGACCCCCCAAAAGCTGAGCCCTTAAATCCTGAACGACCCCCCCGCAATTGTGGCTTCATCCCTGCCCTGCCCTGGCACCGGGCACAGGGGGCACCCCAAGGACACCCCGGGGGACCCTGCCCTGTTTGGGGGGACATCCCTGTGCCCCCCCAGGGGACACTGTGCTGTCACCGCGGGCATTTGTGACACGGATGAACCGGGGGGGGGGCAGGGGGGTTGGAGTGCCCTTGATTTTGGGGGGGGGTGGGGTTGTGTGTAATTAATTGGGGTAATTTTGGGGGGGTCCTGTTGCCGCTGGAGCCGTCGGTGCCGCCCCCCGGCCCGGGGGGGGTCTCTCTCTCATAATGAGATGTCGCATTCGCCCCCCGCCCCCCTTTTATCAATAAACCGAGGTCGCCCCGGGCCGTGTCCGTGTCCCCCCCCCCGGGCTGTGTCTGTGTCCCCCCCTGTCCCGGGGGTCTCCGTTCTTCCGCCCCCTCGCCCAAATCGCGGGAGGAGCGGGGCCATGGGGGCGGCAGCCAATCAGAATTAGGGCGGGGCCAGGAGGCTCGCCCGGCCTCGGCCAATGGGAGCGCGGGGGGCGGAGACAGCGGTGCCACCGGGACCCGGGAACGGACCGGGACCGCCGGGACCGCCCCTGCCTCGGGGACAGCGGGGACACCGGGACCCCCGGAGGGTCTGGGACCGCCCCAGCCCCCGGTGCACCCGGACGGACCGGGACCGCCCCAGCCTTGGGCACAGCGGTGCCCCGGGCACCACCGGAGCCCCCCGGATCCGCCGGTACCCCCGGGACCCAGCAGGGCCCCCAGACCAACCAGGACACAGGAATCGACCTTGGGACCCCCGGGCTGGGCGGGGACCCCCGAGCCGCGGCACCAGGTGAGGCCACAGCTGGCGCCCCCCGTTCCACAGCTCCCCCTGTTCCCCCTTACCTGAGAGCAGAGTTCAGTGTCAGCCCCCTGTCCCCATCTGGATTTGGGGTGCCCGGCGCGGGGTGGTGCCGTTACTGCCCCGTGGGTGTCACCGTGTCCGTGGGTGTCACCGTGTCCGTGGGTGTCACCCTGTCCGTGGGTGTCACTCTCCCTGTCCCCTCCGTGGCTCCTGTCCCCCTCCTCCCACGGGCTCCACCCCGGGGCTGCCCCACCCGTGGAAGCCGCAGCGCTGGGGGGTGACAGAGGGATCCCCAGTGCCCCCCCCCCAAGCACAAGGCAGGTGTCCCCACGCTGACGGGGGGGTTCCCACTGATCCCCCCAAGGTGTTCCCATGCTGATGGGGGGGGTCCCGATAACCCCCCCAGGTGTCGCCATGGTGACAAGAGATCCCCACTGACCCCCCCCCCCAAGTGTCCCCACGCTGACGGAGGGTCCCATGTCCCCCCCCCCCAGGTGTCCCCATGCTGCTCCTGGGCCTGCAGAGCCCCCGCCTGTCCTTCCCCGGGGGTCTCCTGGTGGGCTTCATCAGCACCTTCCTCCTCCTCCGCGGGCTCCTGCTGCCCCCCGCCGGTGCCCGCCCCCAGCCGGGACCCCCGGGTGCCCCATGGCCCCCCCGGGACCCCCCCGTACCCCGCGCTCTACGGCGCTGCCCCGTCGGACGCTGCAGGTGGGCACTGGGTGGCACAGGGAGCGGACACGGGGGAGGTGGGACTGGCAGGGGGATTTGGGGGGGCTTCGCCCTCTCTGCTCCGTGGGTTGGGGACAGTGGCAACGCCCTGAGAGTGACAGCTGAGGGAGCTGAGGGTGTTGGGGGAAAGCAGGGACACGGCTGAGGTGAGGGAAACTGAGGCAAGGCAGGGCTGGGGAGTGGGGGGGGGGGGGGGTCACTGAGGAACGGGGGAAACTGAGGCACGGCAGGGCTGGGCAATATGCCTGCCCCGCCAGCTCCGCGGGTTGGGGACAGTGACCTCGCCCTGACGGCGGCAGGGGACATCGCGGTCTCTGCTCCGCGGGTTGGGGACGGTGACAATGCCCTGGCAGCGGGCACACCGCTGTCTCTGTTCCGCGGGCTGGGGTCGGTGACAATGCCCTGGCAGCGGGCACATCGCGGTCTCTGCTCCGGGGATTGGGGACGGTGACAATGCCCTGGCAGCGGGCACATCGCGGTCTCTGCTCCGGGGATTGGGGACGGTGCCAATGCCCTGACAGCGGGCACATCGCGGTCTCTGCTCCGTGGGTTGGGGACGGTGACAATGCCCTGGCAGCGGGCACATCGCGGTCTCTGCCCCGGTCCCGCAGGCGAGGACGCGGCGGTGGCGCGGGCGCTGTTCCGGCGGGTGCGGGTGCTGTGCTGGGTGCTGACAGCGCCCCAAACCCTGGAGAGCCGAGCCCGCCACGTGCGGGACACCTGGGCGCGACACTGCAACGTGGCGCTGTTCGTCAGCTCCGAGCCCGCCCCGCAATTCCCCGCGCTGGGGCTGGGGGTGCCCGAGGGCCGGGGGCAGCTCTACCGCAAAACCGCCCGGGCCCTGCTCTTCGTGCACCGGCACCTCCGCGCCAGCGCCGAGTGGTTCCTCAAGGCCGACGACGACACCTTCGTGCTGCTGGACAACCTGCGCTGGCTGCTGGCGCCGCTCCCGCCGCAGCGGCCGCTCTACCTCGGCAAACGCTTCCGTCCCTTCGCCCGCCAGGGCTACATGAGCGGCGGGGCCGGCTACGTGCTCAGCCGGGGCGCTCTGAGCCGCCTGGCCCCCGCCCTGGCCCGCGGCTCCTGCGGCCGCGGCGGCCCCGAGGAGGACGTGGCGCTGGGCCGGTGCCTGGAGCGGCTCGGCGTGCCCGCGGGGGACTCGCGGGACACGCAGGGACGGGAAACCTTCCACCCCTTCCCGCCCGAGATCCACCTCACGCACCGCTTCGCCCGCGGCTTCTGGTACCCGCGCTACAGCTGGTACCCCGTGGTGGAGGTGGGTCACAGCCCGGCCCGGGTCGCTGGCACAGCCTGGCACAGCCTGGGCATCTGGAGGGGTGGTTGTGGTCCCCCACGAGTGGCTGTGCCCCCCAAGCACGGCCAGAACCCCCCATGTGTGCCCTCAGTAGCCGCTGTGTCCCTGAGAGTGGCACAGCTGTCCTCGGGTGGCATCTGTGCCCACCGTGCCTGGCTGTCCCACAGCCACAAACCCCTTGTGCGGCTCTGGTGTCCCCACCGTGCGTGGCCACCACCCCCCTGCGTGTCCCTGGCCACCTCCCATGGCCGTGACGCCCTCGAGGTGCAGCCAGAGCCACCTCCGTGTCCGGCTGGCATGTCGTGCCAGCATGGGGGGACCATGGCATCGCCCCCCACAGCCCTGTGAGGTCCCCGGCCATGCCAGGATGTCCCTGCACTGTGCAGCTGTGTGTGACCAATGTGTCCCCCACGTGTGACCACCGTGTCCCCCACGTGTGGCCACCGTGTCCCCCCTCACACGTGGCCACAGCTCCCCCAGTGTGACCCCGGTGGCCTTGGTGTCCCTGCCCAGCCATGACCCCCCTGCCATGGCCGTGGCCCCCAGCGTGTCCCCCCTCCTTGGGGCCCGAGCTCCATCCGCGGTGTCCCCGCTGTCACCAGTGTCCCCTCTGTCACCAATGTCCCCTCCGTGCTCCCGTGCCCTCTGTGCTGGCACTGCCCCCGCCCTGCTCAGTTCTGCACCCAGTGCCCCCTCCCCACCCTGCCCGTGCCACCAAGGGGTGTGAGGGGCTCTGGGTGCCCGGTGCCACCCCCTGTGTCCCCCCGTGTCCCCGCAGGGTCCGCAGTGCTGCTCGGACCTGGCCGTGTCCTTCCACTACGTGTCCGGGGAGGAGATGTACGAGCTCGAGTACCTGAGCCAGCGGCTGCGGCCCTACGGCTACAGAGCCCGCTACCGCCCCGGCCTGAGCCCCCCCGGGACCCCCAACGCCACCGGGACCCCCCTGAGCCCCCCCGGGACCCCCAACACCACCGGGACCCCCCTGAGCCCCCCCGGGACCCCCAACACCACCGGGACCCCCGGGACCCCCAAGGCCACCCGGAGCCAGCCGGGTCCCCAAGCCCGCAAAGCCCCCGAGCCGTACCGGATCCCCCCGCGCTGAAGTGGCCCCAAATTTGGGGTCCCCCCCCCCACCTCCATGGCCCCATTCCTGCCCCGGGACCCCAAATGCCCCGAGCCCCCCCCCCCCCCGCCGTGCCCTGAGCCCACCCCAGCGTGGCCCTAATGACGTCCTAATTAGCGGCTGTTAATGAGCTTTGCTCACGGGATTGGTGGCCCCGAGCCGGGGGTGCCGCGGGACGGGGCCTGGGGGGGATTTGGGGGCACCGGGGAGGGTCCGGAGGGGTCTGAGGAGGACACGGGGCTGGGGGAGGGGGGAAGGGTCCCATGGGGGGGGCTCTGGGTGATGGGACCCCGATAGGACCCAAGGAGGGGTCAGTGCCAGGCCCCGACGTGGGCAGCGTCCCCTCCTGTCCCTTCCCGTCCCCACCTCCCCGGCTGAGGTGGCCGTGCCCCCCCTCAGGATGACCCCCCATGGTGACAGTGACCCCCCCCAAGTCCGCGTTGCCCCCACGGACCCCCCCGAGTCCCTGGACTCCCCCAAGTGACCCCCCAGCTCCTGGGGGCGGCCAGAGCGGGAATTTGGGGGGTCGGGAGAGGGGACGGTGCCCCCCGAGCTGGGGCGTGAAGGAAGCTCCGTGTCTGGGGGAGCCGCCCCTCATTCCTGCTTGAGGACCCCAAATACCCTGAGACCACCCCCCCCGCCATCTCCCGCGCCCCCCAGGCCGACCCTCGCGGCCCCAATTAGCGGCTGTTAATGAGCTTTGCGGGGATGTGGTGGCCTTGATCCGGGGCGGGGGGGGGGCAAAGCGGGGCTGGGGGATTGAGGGGGGCCCGGGGGGTCTCAGTAGGACACAGAGCGGGGGGGGGGAGGGTCCCACTGTCAGGCTGGGGGGGGTGTGTGGGACCCCACGGTGGGGGGAGAGCCGGGGACAGACGGACAGGGGGACAGACAGACAGGGGACACGGTCGCAGCTGGGGACAAGGACGGGCCCTGCAGCTGTGACGGACAGCGGTGCTGGGGGGGGCAGGTGACGCCTCGGGGACCGTCCGGGGGTGACGGGAGCAGCGGCTGGGGACGAGGAGAGGACATTGGGGTGGGGGTTGCTCAAGGCTGGGGGGCGGTACAGGACGGGGTGGCCGATTTTGGTGTCCCCGTGTCCTATTTTGGTGTCTCGTATCCGGTTTTGGTGTCCCAGTGTCCGATTCTGGTGTCCGATTTTGGTGTCCCCGTGTCCGATTTTGGTGTCTCCATGCCCGATTTTGGTGTCTCCATGCCCGATTTTGGTGTCCCCGTATCCCATTTTGGTGTCCCTGTGTCCGATTTTGGTGTCCCCGTGTCCGATTTTGGTGTCCCCGTGTCCCATTTTGGTGTCCCCGCGTCCCTTTGTCCCCGCACAGCCCCCCCAGGTCCCCCCGTGTCCCCTCCCCATCTCCAGCGGCTGCAGCCGGGCGGGGTTGGCCCCACCCAGTCCCACCGACCACGCCCACACATGACCACGCCCCACGAAGCACCGCCCACCCATCAGGCAGCGCCCATGCGCTCGCAATCTTAGCCACGCCCACCTTATTTGCATACAGACCATGCCTACCTATCAAACCCCGCCCTTTCGGATTATAATATGTCGGTTGATCACGCCCCCTTATTTACCTACCGGCGATCGTACATCAAGTCACCGCCCTCGGGCCCCGCCCATCTCATTACTATGTAAGCCCCGCCCTAGATCAGATGACCACGCCCGCCGCAGGACGCCCACAGGCCCCGCCCCCGCCGCTCAGCTCCGGTCAGGGCGGGGGCGCCGGTGACGGGCGGGTCACGGGGCAGCGACCCCTCCCCAGTGCCCCCCGGTGTCCCCCAGTGCCCCCCAGTGCCCTCCAGTGCTCCCAGTGCCCCCTGGTGTCCCCCCCCGCCTCCCCCAGTGTCCCCTAGTGCTTCCAGTGGCCCCCCTCGGTGACCCTCGGTGTCCCCCCGCAGTGCCCCCAGTGCCCCCCAGTGCCTCCAGTGCCCGCAGTGTTCCCAGTGTCCAAAGGACCCCTCAGTGCCCCCCCAGTATCCCTCAGTGCTTCCAGTGCCCCCCAGTGCCTCCCAGTGCTCTGCTGTGCCCCCAGTGACCCTCCAGTGCCCCCCCAGTGCCCCCTCAGTGCTTCCAGTGCTCCTTGGTGTCCCCTTCGTGTCCCCCAGTGCCCTCCAGTGCTCCCAGTGTTCCCAGTGTCCCGGGGACTCCTCAGTGCCCCCCTAGCGCCCCCAGTGCCCTCCAGTGCCCCCCACTGTCCCCCCTCGTGTACCCCAATGCCCTCCAGTGCCCTCCAGTGCTCCCAGTGCCCCCCAGTGCCTCCCAATACTTCCCGTGCCCCCCAGTGCCCCCCAGTGCCCCCCCAGTGCCCCCCAGTGCCTTCCAGTGCCTCCCCAGCTGCGCACAGCGGCCGGACCCCCCCCGCCCTGTGACGCCCCTCACTGTCACCCACCCCCTGTCACTGTGTGCCACCCCCCGTGATGCCCCTACCTCGGGTCATTCCTGCCCCCAGGTGCCACCTGTGTCACCCACTCTGTGTGCCCGCCGCTCTGTCACCCATTCCCGGTGTGACCGTGTCACTCACCCGCCGCGCGCAGTGTCCCCTGTGCCCTCCATGTCCCCTAGGGCCCCCCCGTGTCCCCTGTGCCCTCCATGTCCCCTAGGGCCCCCCCGTGTCCCCAGTGCCCTCCATGTCCTCTAGGGCCCCCCCGTGTCCCCTGTGCCCTCCATGTCCGCTATGCTCCCCCGTGTCCCCTGTGCCCTCCATGTCCCCTGTGCCCCCTCCATGTGCCCTGTGCCCGGCCAGTGTCCCCCGCATGCTGTGCCCCTGTGCCCCCGCGTTCCTGTCACCCCCGTGTCCCCCGTGCTCCCCGCGCCCCCCTGTGCCCTCTATGTCCCCTGTGCTCACCCGCGTTCCTGCCATCCGCATGTCCCTTGTGCCCTCTATGTCCCCCCGCGTTCCTGTCACTCCATGTCCCCCGTGCCCTCCATGTCCCCTGTGCCCTCCCGTGTCCCCTGTGCACCCACGTCCCCTGTGTCCCTTCGCGTTCCTGCCACTCCCGTGTCCTCTGTGCCCTCCTTGTCCCCTGTGCCCCCGTGTCCCCTGTGTCCCCAGTGTTCCTCCCCCGTCCCTGTGCCCTTCATGTCCCCTGTGTCCCCCCGTGTCCCCCGTGCCCTCCCGTGCCCTCCATGCCCCCCGTGCCCCCGTGAAGGACGAGCCGTGTCACAGCACCAGTGTCCGACATTGTCACGTACTTACAGTCACACCCGAGAGATGAAGTCGCTGTACACGGCCCGGCCCCCCGGGCCCCCCCGGACCCCCCGGGCCCTCCCCGGGCCTGGGCCCCCCCCACCGACCCCTCCCGCCCCCCGGCCCCCCCGGGCTCCCCGGCTCGGCCCCGCGGGGGCGTCTCGGGGGCGTCACAGCCGGGGCGCCCCTACATTCATGGGGGGGTCCCGGGAGGGGGGCGCGGGGCCCCCCCAGGCCGGCGGGAGGGGCTCGGGGGTCCCGCCGGCCGTGCCCCCCCGCGGGAGGAGGGGCTGGCTCTATCCTATCGCTGAACAAAGCAATAAATTAACAAATGAACGGGGATCCCGAGGGGAGACCGAGAAACGGGGGCGGGCGGGGGGTCGGGCCACGGGGGGGGCGGCAGGGCACGGAACGGGGAGGGGGCGTACAAAAGGTTGTTGTAGAAAAGGAGGGGGGGGTCGGGGTCTGCTCTGCTCCTGCCACCGAGCGGGGCTGTGCCAGGGCGGGGGGCACGGCCGGGGGGGACACGAGGACACGGGGACAGACGGGGTGGCGAGGGTGACCTGGGGAGGTGACAAGGGGAGGGGGACACAGCACGCGGGAACGGGGACAGGGTGATGTGAGCAGGGGACTATGCGGGGTGAGGGTGACAGGGACAGGGGGTGGCACCGGCAAGGAGGGACAGGGACAGGGGTTACCCCGCCCTCAGTGCCCCCACCCCACGCTGGGGCACAATACCCCGGGCAGGGGACAGGAAGGTGGCAGTGGCATCACTGTGACCCTGGCGTGGGGGTCCCTGGCACGGAGAGGGGGGGGCAGGACCAGCGGAGACCCCGACGCCGAAAGGATAATAAAGGATAATAAAGGATAATAAATAGAGCATCAAAAGTACAAACCGTGGGCACGGGGCGAGCCCGGCGGTGGCACCGGGACGGCCCCGGGCCGCGGGCACGCCCAGCCGGGGGTGGCACCGGGGGCTCCGGGCCCCTCGGGGCTATACCAGGGCAGAGCGGGGCTCGCACGGCCCCACGCTGGCGCAGCTGCTGCGGCGGCGGGGCCCGGGGGTCGGGGGCCCGCCGGGGGTCGGGGGGCCGGGGGTCGGGGGGCTGCCGGGGGTCGGGGGGCTGCCGGGCCCCTCGCCGGGACAGCCGTGCTGCAGCAGGATGTCCGAGCACTCGCGGCTGCCGGCGCGGCGGGCGTAGAACAGCGCGGTGCGGCCGTGAGCGTCCCGGGCCCGCACGTCGGCCCCGTACTGCGGGCACGGCCGGGCGTCACCCGCGGGGCCACCGAGGGTCACCCGGGAACGGCCCCAGAGGCCGCGCGGGGTCCCACGGGGATGGGGCACGTCCCCGGTGTCCCCCCAGGGTGTCCTGGCACATCCCAGGATGGCCACGGACACTTCACATCCCCCATGGTCACACCATTGTCCCCAGGACCGCACAGTGTCCCCCATGACCACGCTGTGTCCTTCAGGACCACCCCACATCCCCTGTGATCACCTCATGGTCCCCATGACCCCACCACATCCTTGATGACCACACCACAGTCCTCATGACCACATCATGTCCCCAATGACCACCCCATGGTCCCCAAGACCGCACCCCATCCCTCAAGGCCACACCACATCCCCCATGACTGGACCATGTCCCCCATGACCACACCATGTCCTCAAAAGCCACTCCATGGTCCTCATGGCCACATCACTCACCTTCTGGCCATGCCACAGTTCCCAAAGCCACCCCCCATCCCTCAAGACCACACCACGTCCCCCATGACCACCTCACGGTCCCCATGACCCCACCGTGTCCCCCATGACCATGTCCCCTGTCCTCTGCCCATGCCACAGTCCCCAAGACCACCCCAAATCCCCCACAGCAGCACCACACCCCCACAGCCACCTCATAGTCCCTACAACCCCATGATCTTCCCCCTGGCTGTGCTGTGATCCCCAAGCCTGCTCCTGGTGCCCCATGAACACATCACACCCCCCAGGACCACACCATGTCCCCAAAAGCCACTCCATGGTCCTCACGGCCACATCACTCAACTTCTGGCCATGCCACAGTTCCCAAGGCCATCCCCCATCCCTCAAGACCACACCACAGTTCCCAAGACCACCTCACGGTCCCCATGACCAGCCCTCAAGACCACCCCATGTCCCCAGTGACCACACCACATCCTCAGTGACCGCACCACAGTCCCCGTGACCACACCACATCTCCAGTGACCACCCCATGGTCCCCAGACCGCACTGTGTCCCTCAAAGCCACCCCACGGTCCTCATGGCCATGTCACTCAACTCCTGGCCATGCCACGGCTCCCAAGACCTTCCCACAGTCCCCAGTGACCACCCCATGATCCCCATGACCACCCCCCAGCCCTCAAGACCACGCCATGTCCCCACTGACCACACCATGGTCCCTCAAGGCCACACCAAGGTGTCCCCAGTCACCACCCCATAGTCCCCATGACCACACCACATCCCTCAAGACCACATCACATCCCTGATGACCACCCTATGGTCCCCATGACCACCTCATGTCCCCATGACCACACCACCTTCCCATGACCACCCCCCATCCCTCAAGGCCACACCACAAACCTGATGACCACCCCGTGGTCCCCATGACAACCCCACATCCCCAGTGACCACCCCATGGTCCCCAAGACCACCCCATGGTCCCCAAGACAACCCCATGGTCCCCAAGACCACACAACATCCCCTACACCCACCCCACAGTCCCCACAACCACACCATCCCTCTCATGGCCACGCCACACCACCCATGACCACCCCACATCCCCCACAGCCCTCCCAAGACCCCGCCACCCCCGTGCCCACCGTGCTGCCCACCCACCCAGCAGTGCCCACGTACCCACACCAGCAGTTGGGTGATCACCACCTGGGCGCCGTCGCAGGCCAGGTGCAGCGCCGTGCGCCGCTCGGCGTCGGCCGTGGGCACGTTGAGCTGCTCCTTGTGGCTGTGGGCCAGCAGCAGCAGCACCGCGGGCAGGTCCTGCTGGCCCACGGCCACCAGCAGCCGCTCGGCCAAGGGCGCCTCGGCCGCGGGCAGCGGCGCCAGGAACAGGCGCTGCTCGTACTTGGCACGGATCCACGACTCCCGCTCCTCCCTGGCGTGGGGACACACGGGGGACATGGGGGACAGAGAGGGACATGGGGAGTTAGGGATGGATCCACGACTCCCGCTCCTCCCTGGTGTGGGGACACATGGGGGACATGGGGGACATGGGGGACATGGGGAGTTAGGGATTGATCCACGACTCCCGCTCCTCCCTGGCCATGGGAACATGGGGGACATGGGGGACACAGGGGACATGGGGGACATGGGGTGTTAGGGATTGATCCACGACTCCCACTCCTCCCTGGGCACGGGGACACACGGGGGACATGGGGGACAGAGAGGGACATGGGGAGTTAGGGATGGATCCACGACTCCCGCTCCTCCCTGGCCATGGGGACACACAGGGGACATGGGGAGTTAGGGACAAACTCACGACTCCCGATCCGCCCTGGGCATGGGGACATGGGGGACATGGGGGACAGAGAGGGACATGGGGTGTTAGGGATGGATCCACAACTCCCGCTCCTCCCTGGGCACAGAGCAGGGGGACACAGGAGACATACGGGGGACATGGGGGACACAGGGGACATGGGGTGTTAGGCACAAACCCATGACTCCCGCTCCTCCCTGGGCATGGGGACACGGGGACATGGGGGACATGGGGGACACAGGGAGTTAGGGACACATCCACGACTCCTGCTCCTCCCCGGGCACACAGGGGACATGGGATGTTAGGGATGAATCCATGATTCCTGCTCCTCCCTGGGCATGGGGACACACAGGGGACACAGGGGGACAGAGAGGGACATGGGGAGTTAGGGACACATCCACTACTCCCGCTCCTCCCTGGGCACTGGGCATGGGGACACAGGGGACACAGGGGACACAGGGCGCATGGGGAGTTCGGGACAAATCAACAATTCCCTCTCCTCCCTGGGCATGGGGACACAGGGGACACAGAATGTTAGGGAGGGAAGGGTGGCATCATGGGGACACAGAGACGCAGTTCCTGTTCCTCCCAAAATAGAGGGGCATGGGGACATGGGGACACAGGGGACATGGGGAGTTGGGGACAAATCCACGATTCCCTCTCCTCTCTGGTCACGGGGCCATGGGGACACAGAGGACACAGGGGGACATGTGGGACACAGGGGAAGCGGGGGACACGGGGGACATGGGGGACACAGGGTGTCAGGGACAGCAGGGTGGCACCACGGGGATGCAGAGCCACAGTTCCTGCTGCTCCCTGGGCACAGAGGGGGCACAGAGGGGACACAAGGGACACAAGGGACACGGGGTGTTAGGAACACATCCATGATTCCCTCTCCTCCCTGGAAATGGGGACACAGGGGACACAGGGGACATGGGGGACACGGGGTGTCAGGGACGGCAGGGTGGCACCACGGGGACGCAGAGCCACAGCTCCTGCCACACCCCGGGCACAGAGGGGGCATGGGGACACAGGGGTGTGGCAGTGGGGACACAAAGGTGGCAGTGGCGTGCAGTGGCATCGCAGGGACAGGGAGGGTGAAAACGGGGAGGACACATGAGGGCCACATGGCAGCAGGGTGGCACGAGAGGTGCCACACAGGAAGGGCAGGGGTGTCAGTGGGGCATTGCTGGGTTGTGGGGTCACAAGGGACAGGGGTGGGGACACGGGGGCACTGGGGACATGAGGAGAAGGGGCATCAGAGTCTGTGGGATGGCACAGTGGTGACACACAGGGTGGGGACACAGGGCACCAGGGAGGGAAGGGTGGCACCATGGTGGCATAGGGGACAGGGACACGGGGTGACATCAGGAATGGCAGGGCAGCATCATGGTGGCATAGAGGACAGGGATGTGTGGCACTATCAGGAGTGGCAGGGTGGCATTGTGGTGGCATAGAGGACAGGAACCTGGTGATGAAGGAACTTGTGGTGGCACCAGGGATGGCTGGGTGGCATCATGGTGGCATAGAGGACAGGAACTTGTGGTGGCATCAAGGATGGCAGGGTGGTATTATGGTGGCATAAGGGACAGGAACTTGTGGTGGCATCATGGTGGCATAGAGGACAGGGACATATGGCAGCATCAGGAATGACAGGGTGCCATCATGGTGGCATCGGGGACAGGGACATGTGACAGTATCAGGAATGGCAGGGTGCCATCACGCCAGCCCAGAGCACAGGGCCATGTGGTGGCACAGGCACAAGGGTGACACTGGGAGCACACAGGGCAGGGGTGACACTGGGGGCACACAGAGGGTGACACTGGGGGCACACGGGGACAAGAGGTGACACTGGGGGCACACAGGGGTGACATGGGGGCACACAGGGTGACACTGGGGGCACACCGTGACAAGAGGTGACACAGGGCACACAGGCACAGGGGGTGACACTGGGGGCACACAGGGTGACACTGGGGGCACACAGGGATGACACCGAGGCACATAGAAGTGACACTGGGGGCACACAGGCACAGGGGGTGACACTGGGGGCACACAGAGTGACACGGGGGCACACAGAGGTGACACTGGGGGCACACAGGAGTGACATGGGGGCACACAGGGTGACACTGGGGGCACACAGGGATGACACTGAGGCACACAGAAGTGACACTGGGGGCACACAGGCACAGGGGGTGACACTGGGGGCACACAGGGTGACACGGGGGCACACAGAGGTGACACTGGGGGCACACAGGGGTGACATGGGGGCACACGGGGTGACACTGGGGGCACACAGAGTGACATGGGGGCACACAGGGGCACACTGGGGGCACACGGGGCAGGGCGCACCCACCGGGAGGACTCGTGCGTGGGTTTGCAGCGCCCGCGCGGGTTCTGCTCCCAGATGCTGTTGGCGGTGGCGTTGCCGATGGCCGAGAGCACCAGGGTCAGCTCGCGGGGCCAATCGTCCAGGTCCAGCGAGCGCACGCGCGACACGTGCGTGCCCAGGTTGCGGTGGATGCCCGAGCACTCGATGCAGATCAGGGCGCCCAGGTTCAGGCTGGCCCACGTGGGGTCTGCGGGGTGAGCGGGGGTGGTGGGTGAGCTGTGGGGACCTGGGGGTCCCCATGGTGGGACACAGTGTGACACAGTGTGACACATGGCGTGGTACGTGGCGGCGGTGAGCCACGGCACCGTGCGGCATTGTGTCACCCATGGCATTGTGTGACCCTGGCACGGTGTGGCTCATGGCACCATGTGGGGTCTGCGGGGTGAGCGGGGGTGGTGGGTGAGCTGTGGGGACCTGGGGGTCCCCATGGTGGGACACAGTGTGACACAGTGTGACACATGGCGTGGTACGTGGCGGCGGTGAGCCACGGCACCGTGCGGCATTGTGTCACCCATGGCATTGTGTGACCCTGGCACGGTGTGGCTCATGGCACCATGTGGGGTCTGCGGGGTGAGCGGGGGTGGTGGGTGAGATGTGGCACCCCTGGGGTCCCCATGGTGGGACACAGTGTGACACATGGTGTGGCACGTGGCGGCGATGAGCCACGGTACAGTGTGACCCATGGCACCGTGTGACATTGTGTCACCCATGGCATCATGTCACCCACGGCATGATGTCACCCATGGCATTATGTGGCTTATGGAATTGTGTGACCCTGGCACGGCGTGGCTCACAGCACTGCGTGGCATGGTGTCACCCATGGCATCATGTCCCACAGCATTGTGTGGCTTATGGCATTGTGTGACATTGTGTCACCATGTGGCATTGTGTCACCCATGGCATCACGTGTCCTATGGTATTGTGTGACCCTAGCATGGTGTGACCCATGGCACCTTGTGGCCTGTGCCATCCATCGTGTGACCCACAGCACCATGTGGCATCGTGTCACCCATGGCATCACGTCCCATGGCACTGTGTGACCCTGGCATGGTGTGGCTCATAGCCCCATGTGGCCCGTGCCATCCATCGTGTGGCCCATGGCACCATGTGGCCTGTGCCATCCATCGTGTGGCCCATGGCACCATGTGGCCTGTGCCATCCACCATGTGACCCATGGCACCATGTGGCCTGTGCCATCCATCGTGTGGCCCATGGCACCATGTGACCTGTGCCATCCACCATGTGACCCATGGCACCATGTGACCCGTGCCAACACACAGCCCAGGCCATCATGTGACCCACAGAACTGTGTGACACGTGCCATCGCGTGGCCCACAGCCCTCCCTCGCCCCAGTTGCCAGGTGGCCCATGGCCCCTGGCACAATGTCACCCCGTGGCACCACCAGCTAGATTCAGGGCTCTGCAGGGCACCCCTGTCCCATGAACCGATGTCCCCCCATGTCCCATGAATGGGTGTCCCCTCATATCCCCCCCATTGTCCCCCAGACTCACTGGGTGCCCCGCAGTCCACGCAGAGCGAGTTCCTGTGGGCACTGCTGTCCCATTGTCCCATGAATGGATGTCCCCCCATGTCCCACGCCCTCCTGTGCCCCCCTCTGTCCCTCATTGTCCCCAGACTCACTGGGTGCCCCGCAGTCCACGCAGAGCGAGTTCCCTCAGGCACCATGTCCCATGAACTGATGTCCCCTCATGTCCCACGCCCTCCATGCCCCCTGTTGTGCCCCCATTGTCCCCCCACTGTCCCCTGGCACTCACTGGGTGCCCCGCAGTCCACGCACAGCGAGTTCCCTCGGGCGTTGCGGATGGCCTGGATGGCCACGGCCTCGCTCTGGCTGTCCATGCGCGCCTGGAGGGGGCACAGGGGGTGAGAGGGGCACGGGGGTGGCATAGGGGGTGAGAGGGGCATGGGGGTGGCACACAGGGTGAGAGGGGCACGGGGGTGGCACACAGGGGTGAGAGGGGCACGGGGGTGACACAGGGGGTGAGAGGGGCACGGGGGGTGAGAGGGGCACGGGGATGGCACAGGGGGTGAGAGGGGCACTGGGGCAGCACACAGGGGTGAGAGGGGCACGGGGGTGGCACAGGGGGTGAGAGGGGCACGGGGGTGGCACGGGCACTCTGCCAGCCCCCAAGCCGAGCTCCCACCTTGTTCTTGCTGCTCTCGCAGCACTGCAGGCTGGCCAGGATCTGGCTCTCGATGGCCTGCACCCACGCGTCGCGCTCCTCGAAGCTGCCGGCCTCGAAGTGCCACGTCTGGCCCGTGCTCGACACGATCAGGAACTCAAAGTTCTCCTCCTCTGCGGGACCAGAGACCCCCGGGGGGGGCGCTGGGATGGGGGTCCAACACCCACCGCTGTCCCAGCCCCCCAAACCCACCCCTGGCACCCCCATCCCCTCCCCAGAGGTGCCCACCCCGGCTGGGGTGTGCTGGCAGCAGGCAAGGGGGGCACAGCCACATGCACGGGAGGCACCGCTCACGCCACGTTACCTGTTTTATAAATATTTCTTAAACTACCAAAACTTTTTAATTTCCACATTTTGCGCTTGGCTGCGGAGGGTCCGGGCAGCAGGAGTGGAGAGAGGAAACGGGGACAGAGTCAGGGGGGCCCACGAAGCCCTGGGGACGGTGCAGAAGGTGGCAGGCAGAAGGTGGCAGAGCGGGGGGGGTGCGTGGACAGCGTGGCTGAGCGTGGCCGGGGGTGAGGGGCAGCATCGGCCCAGATCCCCCCGAGTTCCGGGGCGTCCTTGCCGTGGAGGATGGTGGCCTTGTCCCCACAGTGCCACCGTGGGGGCCTGGGGCTGGGGACACACGGCTGGGGCACCCACCTTCTGCCTGCCCACCCGAGCCCTCGGTCTTGGACGGCGTCATCAGCTTCTTCCTGCGGTGCTTCTTCCTGTCCACCAGGGGCGAGGGCGGGGGGTCCCTGCCAGCGCTGCCGGGGCTCGACACGGCCTCGAAGGACAGCGGGGACTCTGCCAAGACACCACGCGGGGGACGCTGGGGACACCACGGACACCGGGGCCACGGGGGCCACCCGGCGCCTGAGGAGCAGGGAGCGAACCAGGAGCACTGAGGCCACCAGGGTCACCAAGTCCATCAGAACCCTCAGGTCAGGGCTATGAGGGTCACCAAGTCCATCAGAACCACCCAGGGCTAGCAGGGTCACCAACACCATCAGAACCACCCTGGTCAGGGCTAGCAGGGTCACCAAGTCCATCAGAACCACCCAGGCCTATCAGGGTCACCAAGTCCATCAGAACCCTCAGGTCAGGGCTATCAGGGTCACCAAGTCCATCAGAACCACCCTGGTCAGGGCTAGCAGGGTCACCAAGTCCATCAGAACCACTCAGGGTTAGCAGGGTCACCAAGTCCATCAGAGCCACCCAGGTCAGGGCTAGCAGGGTCACCAAGTCCATCAGAACCCTCAGGTCAGGGCTATCAAGGTCACCAAGTCCATCAGAACCACTCAGGGCTATCAGGGTCACCAAGTCCACTTGGGCCACCAGGGCCACTGGACTCACTGGGTCAGCAGGGTCAAGTCCCCCAGAGGTGCTGGGCATGCTGGGGCCATCAGAGCTCACGAGGGTCACTGATCTCACTGTGACCACCAGGACCCAGTCCCAAGGCTGCCAAGTTCATTGGTCTTATCAAAATCCCTGAGGCCACCAGGGTCACAAGAGCCTCTTGGCTCACCAGAGTCATGGAGGTCACCAGGGCCACTGGGCTCACCAGGCTCACCAGGTTCATTGTGGCTTCTGGGACTCCCAGGTCCACGTGCTCACCACAGCCAGCAGTTTCACTGTGGCCACCAGCACCACCAAAGGGCCACCAGATCCCTGGGCTCACCAAATCCACCAGGCTTATTGTGGTCATTGGAGTCAGCAAAGGTCACCTGGTCCCTGGGCTGACCAAATCCACCAGGGTTATTGTGGTCACTGGAGTCACCAAGGGCCACCAGGTCCCTGGGGTGACCAGATCCACAACGGTTATTGTCGTCACCGGGGCCACTTGGTGCCTGGGCTCACCAAGTTCACCAAGGTTGTTGTGGCCTCCAGAGCCACCAGAACCACCAGGGCCAACCAAGGGCCACCTGGTCTCTGAGGTCACCAGGACCACCAGGGTTATTGTGGCCATCACTGGGGTCAGCAAAGGCCACCTAGTCCCTGAGCTGATCAAATCCACCAGGTTTTCTGGGGCCTCCAGAACCACCAGGGCCACCAAGGGCCACCAGGTCCTTGAGCTCACTGTGGTCACCAGGGCCACCAAGGGCCACCAGGTCCCTGAGCTCACTGTGGTCACCAGGGCCACCAAGGGCCACCAGGTCCCTGAGCTCACTGTGGTCACCAGGGCCATCAAGGGCCACCAGGTCCCTGGGCTCACCAGGACCACCAGGTTTACCGTGGCCTCCAGAGCCACCAGTGCCACCAAGGGCCACCAGCTGCTCAGAAGCCACCATGCTTGGTGAGGCCACCAGGGGGATGTCCCTGTGGGTGGCCCGGGAGGTGGCCGTGTCCCTGCCCGTGCCGTGTCACTCACCTGAGGCCAGCTTGGCGCTGGAGGCGGAGGCGCAGCGCTGCAGGGACCCCTTGCCCACCACCTTCAGCCCCGGCTCTGGGGGCAGGCTCAGCCCCACCGAGGGGACGGCGGCTGCAAGGGGAGGGACGGTGTCACCGCGGTGCCACCCCCGTGGTGTCCCCCCATCCCCGGTACCCCCGGGGCTCACCGGCGGGCTCGGGGTCCCGCAGCAGCCCGTTGATGCTGGCCGAGGGGCCGCAGGCGGAGATGGCGCGGGGCGGGCGCTTGCCCGGCACCTTGACCGTGGTGCGCAGCAGGTCCATCTCCTTGCCGTGCGTGCTGTGGATGTAGTCCTGCGGGGACAGCGAGGGTGACACCGGGCTCTGCCACCCTCTGGGGACACAGGGGGACAGGGGCGCTCACGTTGATGCTGGGGTGGTAGAAGAGGAGGCCGTTGCTGGACAGGGTCACGTATTTCTTCTTCCACTCCTTGTTCAGGGAGTTGCCGCTGCGCTTCAGCAGGAAGCTCTGGGGACAGGGAGCAGTGAGGGGACACTGGGGACACAGGGGACACAGCCACATCCTCCTGTCACCGCCGCCACCCACCTGCTTGATGGGGATGGCGCGGCCGCTGCCGGCGCCCTCGCCTCGGCTGTCCAGGCTGCGCTTCTCGGAGTCGCTGCCACGGCGCGTCTGTGGGCATGGGGACAGGACAGGGGGTGGCACTCGGGGCACAGCTGGGGACACTGGCGTGCCCGCATGTCCCCCACTGCTGCAGCCTGGTGGTGGGGACATTGGGGTACCACAGACCCCAGCACTGCAGCCACATGGTGGGGACACCCTGGGTGCCCACGTGTCCCTCAGTGCCACCACCACCACGCCACAGGGGCGCTATGGATGCCATGTGTCCCCGCCACCCTGCTAGAGGACACATCAGAAGCTGCATGATGGGGACATCCTGGGTGCCCATGCATCCCTCAGTGCCAGCATCACCATGTCCCAGAGGGGTGCTACGGGTGCCATATGTCCCCACCACCCTGCTAAAGGACACATCAGAAGCTCCATGATGGTGTCCATGCATCCCTCAGTGCCATGACCACCATGTCCCACAGGGATGCCATGTGTCCCCACCACCCTGCTAAAGGACACATCAGAAGCTCCATGGTGGGGACACCCTGGCTGCCCACATGTCCCCCATCCCACGTGCGGGACATACCCACATGTCCCTCAGCGCCACCACCCCCATGCCATGGGGACAACTGAGGTGCCATGTGCCCCTCAATGTCACCACCCTGCCAGAGGACACCTGGGCTGCCACATGTCCCTTGCTGCCACCACCCTGTCAGGATGACATTCTGGGTAACACCAAGGGGACACCCAGCATGTCACACCCCACATGTCACCATGCTGTGCCAGGGTGCCTGGTGCCCGCGGTGCCCCCGGTGCCCACGGTGCCCCGTGCACTCACGGCGAAGAGGCTGGTGCGGCGCTTGGCCCCGCGGTGCAGCGAGCTGGGGGTGCCCAGCGGGGCCGGGGTCTCGCTGCGCAGCTCCCGGTGGCTCACGTTGGGCGTGGAGGGCAGCGAGGACGAGTAGTCGCTGGTGTGGCCACCATTGCTGGTCTGGGGGGACACGGGGTCAGCCTGGGCTGTGCCCGGCGCTGGGGAGGGCGCTGGGGAGGGGGATGGGGGTACCTGGCTGGGGTGGACCCCCCCCACGGGGGTGGAGGCGGCCGAGTGGCTCGGGGAGCTGGGCAGGGACTTGCAGGACGCCATCAGCTGCTGCTGCTTCTTGAGCGCCACGGCCCGCTGGGCCACTGCAGGAGACTGGGTCAGGAGGGCCGGGCCACAAACCTGCCCTGGCACCAGCCTGGGTACCCACACCTGGGTACCCACACCTGGGTATTCACACCTGGGTACCCACACCTGGGTACCCACACCTGGATTCCCACACCTGGGTACCCACACCTGGGTACCCACACCTGGATACCCACACCTGGGTACCCACACCTGGGTATCCACACCTGGGTACCCACACCTGGGTACCCACATCTGGGTACCCACATCTGGGTACCCACACCTGGATTCCCACACCTGGGTACCCACACCTGGATTCCCACACCTGGGTACCCACACCTGGGTACCTACACCTGGATACCCACACCTGGGTACCCACACCTGGGTACCCACACCTGGATACCCACACCTGGGTACCTACACCTGGATACCCACACCTGGACAAGGTCCTCATAGCCATGCCAGCTGGACACTGTCCCCATCCCACCTGGACATGGGCCCCATCCTCATCCCATCTGGACATAGTCCTCATTGCCATCCCACCTGGACACTGTTCCCATCCCATGTGGACATGGGCCCCATCCTCATCCCACTCAGACACTGTCCCCATCCCACCCAGCTGCTGGACACTGTCCCCATCTCACCTGGATGTGGCCCCCATCCCACAGGGTTGGACATGGTCCCCATCCCCATCCCACCTGGACATGGTACCCATCCTCATCCCACTCAGACATGGTCCCCATCCCACCTGGATGTCCCCATCCCACAGGGGTGGACATGGTCCCTGACCTACCCAGCCGTGGGTCTGCCACACCTGGACACCGTCCCCTGCACTGCCCTGTCCACTGTCCCCATCCCACCAGGCCATGGTCCCTGTCTCACCTAGACATGGCCCTGTGGCCACCACTCCCCTTGTGGGGACTCAAATGTGATCCCACACTGACCACCATCCCTGTCTGACCATGGATGGTCACTGTCCCCATCCCACCTGGACACTGTCCCCATCCCACCTAGACATGGTTCCTGTCCCACCTAGACATGGTGGCCACCACTCCCCTTGACCCAGATATGATCCCACTCTGGCCACCATCCCTGTCTGACCAGGTCACTGAGCCCATCACACTCTGGTCACTGTCCCCCCCCCACCATGTCACCAGCCCCCTCCCCACCCCCAGAGGACAGTCACCCACCCTCGGTGAAGACCCTGTCCCCCTCCCACGCCCTCCCCACCCCCAGAGGACAGTCACCCACCCTCGGTGAAGACCCTGTCCACATTGAGGCCGTAGGTGGCGCAGGTCTCGTAGTAGAGGCAGCGCCGCGCGTCCCCGCAGAGCGCCCGGGCGCGCGCGTCCTCCACGGCCCGCGGGCTGGACGAGCTGATCTTATCTGGGGAGCCGGGGGGGTCACTGGGGGTGCCCCGTGCCCCTCCCACCCCCACAGCCCCCCCCGTGCCCCCCTGGCTCACCCTGGGTGCCCACCAGCGCCAGGGCCACGTCGCTGGTGCCGCGCAGGTCGCTGAGCAGCGCGTGCAGCTGCGTCACCTCCTCGAAGCTGCTCTCGCTCTCCAGGCTGAAGACGAAGATGACGGCGTCCGCCCAGCTGGCAAACTGGGGGGCCACGGGGGGGGTCAGGGCTCGGCTCTGGCCAGCGTGGCCCCCCCGGGCCCCCGTCCCCTCGTACCTGTGCGTCCGGGGCGCCGGCCTCCTCCCGGATGAGCAGGAGGTGGCTCTGGCCATCAACCGTCACCTCACGCTTGAACTGGCCACCTGCAGTGGGGAGGGGAAGGGGGAGACCCTGCAGGTGTGCTCTGCCCACATGGATGGAACCTCCCATGGCCATGCCCAGCACCAGGTGTGACCAGTGCTTTGACCCCAAATGTCCCTCAGCCATGCCCAGCACCATGACCTTGCCCATTCTGTGGCCACGTCCATCCCCTTCACCATCTCCACACCTGTCCATGCCCAGCATTGTGACTTTGCCCATTCCATGACCGTGTCCATCTCGTGGTCATGCCCAGCCCCACCACATGTCCATCCCATGCCCAGCTCCATGGATATGTCCACTCATCCATCTCCATCCCCATGGACATGCCATCACTGAACCCATCCCATGCCCATGGTCACATCCGTGCCATGTCCATGGTCACGTCCATTCCCTGCCTATGGACACTGTCTATCCCACGGTCACGTCCATCCATGCCCATGGTCATGTCCATCCCATGCCCATGGTCATGTCCATGCCATGCCCATGGTCATGCCCGTCCCATGGTCACATCCATCCCATGGTCATGGTCCATCCCATGCCAATGGCCACATCCATCTCATGCCCATGGTAACGTCTCCATCCCATGCCCATGGTCACATCCATCCCCTGCCCATGGTCACAACCATCCCATGCCCATGGACATCATCCATCCCATGCCCATGGTCATGTCCATCCCATGCCCTTGGTTGTGTCCATCCCATGCCCATGGTCCATCCCATGCCCATGGTCACGTCCATCCCCTGCCCACATCCTCCCCATGGCCACTCACTCTCAGTGGGCTCCAAGCCCACATAGGAGCCGGTGAGGAACCGATGGACGAGCGCTGACTTCCCACTCTTGCTGCTGCCCAGGACACCCTGGGTGGGCACAGGGATGTCAGGATGGCTGGGGACACGGTCCTCAGGGGACATGGTGACACGGGGACATGGTCCTCAGGAGGCATGGGGACACAAGGACATGGGGACACAGAGACATGGGGACATGAGGACATGGGGACATGGGGATACAGGGACATGGTCCTCAGGGGACATGGGGACATGGGGACACGGGGACACGAGGACATGGGCACATGGGGACATGGGCACACAGGGACACGGAGACACAGGGACATGGGGACACAGTCCTCAGGGGACACAGGGACATGGGGACATGGGGACATGGTCCTCAGGGGACACGGGGACACGGGGACACGGGGACATAAGGACACGGCACCCACCAGGCGGATCTCGGGGATAGAGCGGCCCAGGGTCCATTCCTGGCTGTTCACCAAGGCCTCTGCGGAGGGAGACAGGTGAGACAGAGCCCAGGAACCCCGGGCACCCTCGGGCACCCCCAGGAGCCCCGGGCACCCCCAGGAACCCCCAGGAACCCCGGGCACCCTCAGCACCCTGGGCACCTCCAGGAACCCCAGGCACCTCCAGGAATCCCGGGCAACCCCCAGGAATCCCTGGCATCCCCAGCAGCCCCTGGCACCCCCAGGAGCCCCTGGCACCCCCAATGCCGGGGTGCCCCCACTCCGCAGCGCAGCAGCAGCTCCCGCGTGGGCGGCCACCAGCTGTCACCCAGCAACGGCGCCGGGCCCGCGGGGGCGGCGCGAGGACGTGGAGATGCCACGTGGCACGGACGGGGACGTGGCAGCACGAGGCGTCGTGTGCCAAGGCACGAGGAGGCAGAGGGCACGGGGACGCAGTGGGCACGGGCATGGAGAGCACGGCGTGGCACGGGGACACGATGGGAACCACAACGGGCATCGGGTGGCACAAGGATGTGCTGTGGCATGGGGACACAATGGATTCCAGGATGTGACAGCCGTGAGGGCACGGCGTGGCATCAGGACGTGGTGAGGGGACACAGTGGAAGCCACCAGGCCATGACAGGCACCGGGGCACGGCGTGGCACAAGGATGTGGCATGAGGACATCACGGGCACCAGGACACAGCACGGCAGGAGGGTATGGGGTGGCACAAGGACACCACGGATTCCAGCACATGATGGGCACAAGGACATGATGGACACCAGGACACGGCATGGCAGCGTGGCACTGGGACATGGTGTGGCACAAGGACAGGACATGGCATGGGGACATGGCGTGGCTCTGGGACATGGTGTGGCACAAGGACAGGACATGGCATGGGGACATGGTGTGGCACTGGGACATGGTGTGGCACAAGGATGTGGCATGAGGACACGACGGGCACCAGGACACAGCACGGCAGGGGGATGTGAGAAGGCACAAGGACACCACGGATTCCAGCACATGATGGGCACGGGGACACGATGCCAGCGGTGCCTGACAGCCTTAGGCCTGAGGATTCAGCGTGGTGTGAGCACAGGGTGTGGCACAGGGACACGATGGATGCCAGGACACGGCGTGGCAGCGTGGCACAGGGACATGGTGTGGCACAAGGAGGACACAGCATGAGGACACGGCGTGGCACGTGACGGGTACAAGTCCAGTGGCACCAGAATGCAGCGCATGTGGCACAAGGACACAGCATGGCACTGGGACATGGTGTGGCACTGGGACACAGTGTGGCATGAGGACAGGACATGGCACAAGGAGGACGAGGCATGGCACAGGGATATGGTGTGGCACAAGGATGACACGTGGCACGAGGACATGGTGTGGCACTGGGACATGGTGTGGCACGAGGACAGGACATGGCACGAGGGCACAGCGTGGCACACGACGGGCACAAGTCCGGTGGCACCAGCATGCTGCGCATGTGGCACAAGGACAAGGCGTGGCATGAGCACATGGCGTGGCACCAGGACATGGTGTGACACTGGAACGTAGTGTGGCACTGGGACAGGACACGGCACGAGGACACGACATGGCACTGGGTCACGGTGTGGCACAAGGACGAGGCATGGCACAAGGAGGACACAGCATGGCACAGAGACTTGGTGTGGCACAGGGACGTAATGGACGCCAGGACATGGTGTGGCACGAGGACAGGACATGGCACGAGGACACAGCGCAGCACACAATGGGCACAAGTTTGGCGGCACCAGAGCGCAGCGCGTGTGACACAAGGACACGGCGTGGCACGGGACATGGCGTGGCATGGGGACATGGCGTGGCACAAGGACAGGACATGGCACAGGGACACGCCGTGGCACAAGCACCTGGCGTGGCACTGGGACATGCCCGGTGCCCCCCACACCTCCTACCTGGCATCCCCAGCCCCTGTGGGCATCGGTGGCACCCCCAAGGGGGAGCCGCGGCAGGACGAGGTCAGGGTGCCCCCCCTCTCTGTGCCTCAGTTTGTGCCCCCAGCGCGGAGCCGGATCCGTGCCAGGCGCGGCCCGGCCGGGAAAGGGTTAACGCTGCCGCCTGTCACCCCTCGCATTGTCACCGAGTGCCACCCCCGGGCCCGCAGGTGCTGCCCACGCACCCCGCGGTGCCAAGGTGCGCGCAGGCACACGGGGGGTGCCGGGGGGGACAGAAGGACGCGGGGGGACAGGACAGATGGGGGACAGGATGCACGGGTGTGACGCACGGATGGAGGCGAGCGCAGACGGACGGACGGACGGACGGATGGATGGCGGGACAGAACGACGGAGGTGGGGGTCGCGTCTGACCCCCCTGGAGTTCCCCCAGTGGGGAAACTGAGGCACGGGATCCCCACCATGGGATCCCCCCACGGCCAGCACCGGACCCGCCAAAGTGGGGAGGTCACATCGGCCCAGGGCACAAACACCAAAGGCGGCACAGCCCGGGGGTCACAGCCCCCCCGAACCCCACAGCCCCCTCCCCACAAAACCCCTGAACCCCACAGCCCTCCTAAAACCCCACAGTCCCCTAAAACCCCACAGACCCCCTAAAACCCCACAGTCCCCTAAAACCCCACAGCACTTCTAAAACCCCACAGTCCCCTAAAACCCCACAGACCCCCTAAAACCCCACAGCGCTTCTAAAACCCCACAGCCCCCCTGTACCCCACAGAACAGCCTGGGGTTCACAGCCCCGTTGAATCCCACAGCCCCCCCTGAACCCCAAAGCCTCCCTGAACTTCACAGCCCAGCCCGCGGGTCACAGGCCCCTGTACCCCACAGCGCCCCTAAAACCCCCAGCCCCTCTGCACCTCACAGCCCCCCCTGAACCCCACAGAACAGCCTGGGGGTCACAGCCCCTCTGAAATACACAGCCCCCCTAAAATCCCACAGCCCAGCCCGGGGGTCACAGCCCCCCCTGAACCTCACAGCTCCCCTGTACCCCACAGTTCCTCTGTACCCCACAGCCCAGCCCAGGAGTCACAGCCCCGTTGACCAACACAGCCCCCTGTACCCCACAGCCCCCCTAAAACCCCACAGCCCAGCCCGGGGATTACAGCCCCCTGAACCCTACAGCCCCTCCGTACCCCACAGCCCCCACCCCACAGCGTCCCTGAACCCCACCTGGGGGTCACAGCCCCCTTGAACCCCACACCCTCCCCCTA